GCCATGCTGAGGGGAAAGGGAGAGGTTTCCAAGCTGAGCCAGGCTGGCTCAGGAATTCTGGGAGTTGAAGTCCACGAGTCATAAAAGAGCCAAGGTTGAAGACCCCTGACCTAGATGATAGACAGACAGACAGACAGACAGACAGACAGACAGACAGACACACACACACACACACACACACACACACACACACACACCCCTAAATCAGGGGTAGATAACCTTGGCTCTTTTATGACTGATGAACTTCAACTCCCAGAATTCCTGAGCCAGCCACGCTGAGGGGAAAGGGAAAGGTTTCTAAGCTGAGCCATGCTGGCTCAGGAATTCTGGGAGTTGAAGTCCACCAATCATAAAAGGGCCAAGGTTGCCTACCCCCTGACCTAGATGATAGACAGACTGACAGACAGACCTAGATCAGGGGTAGGCAACCTTGGCTCTTTTATGACTGGTGGACTTCAACTCCCAGAATTCCTCACCGATCAGCTGGAATGCTGCAGCCTCTCCAGGGTCTTGTGATTTACATTCAGATGCTTGGCAACTGATTCATATTTATGACGGTCACAGTGTCCCAGGGTCATGTGAAGGGACCAAAACCTGCTGCAACCACCCAGCAGACGGGGGGAATAAAAATCAAACACCCCCCACCCCACCCCCGCTGCCAATCCTCAACAGAAATGCTCACAACAATGGAAACCTCGGACAGGAGGAAGAGCGCCACCGGGCGGGCAGGCAGGTGTCTTGCTCGGCTGTGGCTTGGGGGGCACTTTTTTCAATGCCATTGTAACTTCGAACAGTCACTAAGCGAACTGTTGTAAATCGAGGACTACCTGTACTTTATCACGTTTTTCCTTTTTTGGGGGGGTCATAAAAGTTTTTGACCCCTTGCTAGGCGACTGGTGGTACTCGGATGTTGCCATATCCTAAAAGTGGTACAATGGGTGAAAAGGTTGAAAAGCCCTGCAGGATAGAATCTTCTATTACCAACACTTGCCTTCCTTTTGGGGGGTGCTTTTCTGTTTATCTCTGCAGTTGTTTTATCTGAATTTTTGGCAAGCCTACATGTGCAGTAAATTGAGTTCTTTCCTACTCAAATGTTTAAAAAAAAAAGTGTTTGCTTTTGAAAGTCAGATTGTTTGGAAAAAAACAACATTGTAAGGCAGTGTTTCTCAACCTTGACAATTTTAAGGCATGTGGACTTCAACTCCCAGAATTCCACAGCCAGCATTGCTGGCTATGGAATTCTGGGAGTTGAAGTCCACATGCCTTAAAATTGTCAAGGTTGAGAAACACTGTTGTAAGGTGAATCCAGTTCATTTCCTCATGTGTTCAAAATTTCACCATCTTGTGTAAATTTAGCCATGCACTTTCCCAGTGACAGCCGTTGAAATTTGAGTAAGTAATTGGCATTCTTTCTTGCCAATGACTAGGATGATGAAAAGATCATAATTTGGATACATTCTATTTTTATAAAAGCTCTTCCGACACCTTTTGCAGTTTATTTCACAAATTGTTTTGGCGTTCCTTGAGCTCTGTGACATAGTGAAACTCAGGGGAGCATTTAAAAAAATATATATACTTGAAGATTGCTCTGATCGTCTGCAGTTCAGAGTATGGAGTTTGTACTTTGTCATAAGTATTGTCTTTGATGTATGTGGATATATGTTGAATCACCGATCCATTTCAAAGATAAACCGAGGATGTCATGTAGTACAAAGAAGACTCTGTTCACGGATGATTGGGTATTTCACATCATAGAAACAGGTCTTTATAGCTTACTAGAAACTGTTGTAGGTCATTGAGGCTACTGGTTGTCTTTGGCAGCACAATCAGAGTCTCAGCAAGCTCTGAAAAAAAAATATTGCGACACCTTTTCCTGTTGGGTCGTAGAACTCACGAATATGGGCTTTGTAAATATGCTTCTTTTTATTATTTCTTAATTTTTAAGCTGGAGTGGATGCATCATACGTACAACACGAGAAGTGTTAACTCAAAAAGACAGTATAAAATCAGACAGAGTATAAAATCACATTAAAATTGCAATAAAATATAATTATAACTAAAGATGGGGAGGAAAGGCATGAAGAATTGCATGAAAATTCTTCATGCCTTTCCTCTCCATCTTTAGTTATAATTGTATTCTATTGCAATTTTAATGTGTCTGTCTATCTATGGTTTAATTCGCCTTGCAGCGAGATGAATTATAAACAAATGTAATAAACATGAATAAATAAATTCTGGACAAATGTTTAGAAAATGTGAGCCCCACCAAAATTCATGAAAATGCCTGTTTTTCAGTGAATAAGATATTGATTATAGTTGCATTTCCATATGCCTTCTCATCCCTTTCAGATTTAAAGATGTTTTTTTAACTAGCATTTTAATCTGAATTAAGTATCTATCGAATTGTATTACTTTGAGTAATTCAGTTACTTGAATTGACCTTCAAGGAATCAAGCAATAATGACTTGATAAAGTAAATCAAATAATTCATATGAAATAATTGAGTCAGGTAATCAAACGATTACTTGAATCAAGTTGCATTGTTTGAATTACTTTATGTATTCCATGCCACAGTGACCACTCTACTTAAATATACAAGGATGCTAACCAGACCTATTGCAATCTTCTTCTATATATATAAATAAAAATGTAAATGTTCGTTTGTTCAAAATCTTAAATCTCCTAAAGTTCTTCACCGATTGCTTTGAAATTTTCACACAACATTGCATTCAAATACGTGTGCGTTTTTATATACCTATATTATATAGATGTCACACCTGTGACAGGTAAAAACATGCTTTTTAAAAAAAACCAGCACCATCTGTTGGACATAAAAGCAACACACGCTTTTACCAGATTGAGCCACAGCAACGCGTGGCTGGGTACAGCTAGTAATAAATAAAAGGACCTCCATCCTGCCATCTCCTTAAGGTGGGAGTGAGCTGATCAACTTGAGTTGCTGCTTATTGTTAGTTAGTTGTCACTCCCTCAGAGTCAGGGCATTGAAAATGGGTCGTAGATGGGTATTCTAGCATGGCAATGACCCAATACACATGGCCAAGGCAACAAAGGAGTGGCTCAAGAAGAAGCACGTTAAGGTCCTGGAGTGGCCTGGCCAGTCTCCAAACCCTTAATCCCATAGAAAATCTGTGGAGGGAGCTGAAAGTTGAGCTGCCAAAATGTCAGCCTCGAAATCTTAATGACTTGGAGAGAAACTGCAAAGAGGAGTGGGACAAAATCCCTCTTGAGATGTGTGCAAACCTGGTGGACAACTACAAGAAACGTCTGACCTCTGTGATTGCCAACAAGGGTTTTGCCACCAAGTACTAAGTCATGTTTTGAGAAGGGGTCAAATACTTATTTGACTCATTAAAATGGAAATCAATGTATAACTTTTTTTGAAATGCGTTTTTCTGGATTTTTTGCCGTTACTGTCTCTCACTGTTAAAGTAAACCTACCATTAAAATTATAGACTGATCATTTTTTTGTCAATGGGCAAACATACAACCTCAGGAGGGGATCAAATACTTTTTTCCCCTCACTGTACATGGGGAGGATTCAGTAAATGGACAAAAATGCCAAATCCAATCTAAACATCTGGCTGAGTATCTAACCATAATAATAATATCTCCTATATCCGTGGCGGCGAACCTATGGCAGGTGTGCCAGAGACGGCACTCAGGGCCCTCTCTGTGGGCAGGTGCGCCATGCCCTGGAGATGGCAACCATCCCTCTTCAACCAGCTGCCCACTAACTCACCGATGTCCCACGTGGCCGGATGCATCCCAGCAAAGCTGGTTTCCTTCCCCCCCATCCCATCCCTCCTGGCCTCGCATGCTCTCATTTTCCCAGGCATGACCCACTGCATTGCTTCCTCAGCTGTCGGCCGTCCGTCCAACTCAGAGGCGGCTTCTCTGAACTGCTGGGGGTGGGCTGTGGAGCCCCAGAGTGTGCTGGTTGAGGGGCCGGCAGGCTGTGGCTGCTGACGGACACTGTTGACCCCCATGCGCTCGCTGGCCTCTGTGTGCGGGGGCCGATGGTGTCAGGCAGCAACTGCCCTGGCCCCTGCCTCGCCTTGCCCTGCGACAATGGCACCCTTGCCCTGCCTTGCCTTGCCTCGTCTCACCCTGCAGGACAAGCCTTCTGCCCACCGCCCCACCTGCCAGAGACCCCCTGGATCTCCCCCAACCCTGCCTGGCTCCCACAGGCGTCCCTCCCTACAAGCAACATCAAGGTATCACGCCTACCTTGGCCACACCACCTAGTCTGCCATGACCATCACAGCCACGCCCACCTGGCACTTGGCGATATAAATGGGTTTTGGGTTGCAGTTTGGGCACTCAGTCTCTAAAAGGTTCGCCACCACTGCCCTATATCTATAATTCAAGGCAGCAAATATATCTAATATTTCTCCCTCTTATTTTCCCCATTACAAAAACACTGTAAAGTGGATTGGATTGACAGAGTTTCACTGGCCAGTTTGATTTGGTATTGGAGCTGACAAGCCATTTTTATGCATTTTATATATTTAGTCTGCTATGATTTTGACTTATTGTCCAATTATTATGGATAGTTACATCTATATTTGTTATTTTCTTGATAATCTAGCAAATCACAAAGGTGAAAGTATTTAAATATTTCAAGGATTAATATTTAACAATATATTGTATTTTTAAGTATATAATATATGAAATTAATATGACGTTGAACCTGCATCTTATAAAAGCATAGTAAAATATGAGCATATGGAAGGGACAGAATTTAAATTGGCATGTCATCTTAATTCCTAAATACTATATTCAAATATATTATAATCACAGCCTTAATAAATTGACTATTGACCTAACTGCTAAAACTGTTAATTAGGACAGGAGAATGTTCAAGAAAAATTATAGCATTTCCAATTTTTGAATTGTATCATAAGGTAAAAAGATACTATACAATGAATCTAGATTAAACTGATGTGTTTTATTATTATTATTGCAGATCTATCCAGGCTTTCCTTTTCGGCAGGTAAGTGTTTTTTTTTTGAATAATTTGTAATTCCAGTAAATGGCTCTTGTTATTTACTAGGTATCAAATTATGATGTAGAATACTGTAATCCAGAGAGAAAGTTTTTCCTTTTGGTTCCTTTGTTTTAGGCAGGAAGTAAGCAGATTTTTTAAAATAATATTTTATTGGTTTTCTACATTTGCAATTTGTAAGTGCTTAGCAAACAACGTGTTGCCTGAGTTCATTTGTTTTATTTAGTAATACACATTAAATTCCTAATCTCTACCCTGTTTTTCCAGCCATTGATAAAATACATCTCATATTTGAAAATATTCTGTTTCTTCTTTTTCTTTAATCTTCAGTGTAAGTCTATCCATTTCTGCACAGTCCAGTATTTTCTTGATTTTCTCTTCTTCAGATGGTGTTTCTTCATTTTTCCAGTACTGAGCAAATACAATTCTTGCTGCTGTTAATACATGCAACATTAAATATATACTTTTTATCATATTTTTCTGATATTATACCTAATAAAAATAATTCCAATTTAAAATCTACATGTTTTCTTAACATCTTTTCTAGCCAAATATGTATTTTTTTTCCAAAATTTCTTCGCTTTAGGGCACGTCCACTAAAGATGATAGTACATGCTTAGTTTTTGATTGCACTTCCAACAGTTACTAGACGTGTTTTTAAACATTTTTGCTAATCTTGCAGATAAAAAGTGCCATCTATAAAACATTTTATATAAATTTTCTTTATAAGCAGATGCCATTGTCAATTTATAATTTCTTTCCCAAAGATTTTGCCATTTTTCTAATTCTATATTATGCCCAAAATTTTTTGTCCTTGTTATCATTGTTTCTTTCACTTGTTCATCTTCAAATTTTAAATTTAATAGAAAATTATGCAATTTCTTAATCTACTTTTCATCTGAAGTCAACAATACCTGACCAAACATTGTCTGGTCCTTATAAAAACCATGTATTCTAGCATCTTTCTTATATCTCAGTTGTATTTACAATTGAGGCCACCATGATAAATCAATATCCTGATCTTCCAACTCTTGTTTAGATTTTAATTTCCCTTCAATATTCAAAATATCTTTATCATCCTGGTATTTTCATATAATTTTTAGCTTTTATCATTTCCCATACTGAAAGTAATGCATTTCTTACATAGTGATTTTGGAAGTATCTATGAATTTTATTCTTCCCATACCATAGGAAAGTGTGCCTTCCAAGTATAATAATCTTTTATGTCTAAGGGTTATCCATTCTTTTAGCCATGTTAAAGCACATGCTTGGTAGTATAAGACCCAATTCGGTAAACCAAATCCTCCATTTTCTTTAGATTCTTGTAACATTTTTAATCTAATTCCCTTGCCAAATAAATTTCAAAATCCGTATGTTTAAATCATCGAAGAATTTTTTCTCTATTTTTTGGGGTACTGTTTGAAATAGGAAAAGCAATTTTGGTAAAATATTCATTTTCACAGTAGCTATTCTTCCTAACATTAATAGTTGTAAAGTTTTCCATTTTTCCAAATCCAGTTTTATTTGATTTAATAGTTTTATATAGTGGTCTTCTTTTATTGTTGCACATCTTGCTATTAGATAAATTCCCAAATATTTAACTATCTGGAGATCTGTTTTTCCTGACAGTTGATTTTTTTTGTTTATCTATAAGATCCTTAACTATAAGTTTAGTTTTTTCCTCTGTTTATCTTCAATCCTGCTACTTCTCCAAATTCTTCTATCCTTTTCAATCAGAGGAAACCGACCAAAAGATGGAGAAAATAAAGGAAGATCATTGGTGCAGGCAAATAAAAACTTGGAAGATTCACTGGCAGTACTGGAAATGGAAACGGCATCCCATTTCTTAAGATTTCAGAATATACCTGAAAACAAGGAAGAAAATCTTATAGAACTGATGAGAGAGCTGTTAGCGGAAGCGTTACAAATTGAGAAACAAGAAATGAAAAGAGAAATGGATAAAATATTTAGAATTAACTCAAGCTACGCAAGGAGATATAAAGCGCCCAGGGAGGTGCATGTTAGATTTCTGAAGAAATTCATAAGGGACGAAATATTGAGAAGAGTGAGGGATGGTCCACTGCAATATAGAGAGAAGGAAATTGTGGTTTTGAAACACATCCCTAGGAGGATAAGAGATTCACAAAAACAATATCAATTTTTGACTACCAAATTAATCGAAAAAGGAGTGAATTTTAGATGGCTGGTCCCGGAGGGGATTTTAATTAACTGGGGCACTAAAAGGTACAAATTGGGCTCCATCTTTAAGGCAACAGAATTTTATGACAGACATAGAATTTTTTTTGAAGAAAAGATTCCAGAATCCCAAACAGATAGTGAATTTAGAAAACAGGAAGAGTCAACAACAGAAGAGGTGGCTATACGAAGAGAAAAAGAAGAAATAGAAATATAGACCAAGAAGGAGGGACAATGGCACGAAAACAGAGACAGACAATAACTACTAGGAGAATAAAACCTAATAAATATAAGTAAAGAATATGGAGAAGGAAAGGGGATTCTCTCAATGAATATAAAATGGGTTGAACTCCCCCTCAAAAAGGAATTTTTTTAATACGACTACAAAAACTAAAAATGGATATAATAGAAAAATCAAACTAATCCTGTTTTCTGTTGTTCTGCCTTTTGAGTGTCAAGTTATGATGCTAGGAGTTGAATTTATTATGTCTACATTGTGTTTTTAGGATTTTGGATTTTGCCATTTGCAATACATAATCAGACTTAATCTACAGCGTGTGTGTGTATGTGTATATGAGTGTATCAGCTAACATTGGATAATAAATTATCTGTCAAAAGAATAGTGTCATTATGATAAATTAAAATTCCGTGCCTTAAAAGCCATCAGTGTATCTTTGAAGACACTTCAAACTTTGATAGCTACATTCTAGATTGGGACAGCATAACTACATAGGGATTATGTAGCTGGATTAAAAGCAGTTCCTGCCATTCTAAACTGTAAATTCTATGTATACACCCGAAATAGAATAGAATAGAATAGAATAGAATAGAGCTGGAAGGGACCTTGGAGGTCTTCTAGTCCAGCCCCCTGCTCAAGCAGGAGAACCTATATCATTTCAGACAAGCGACTGTCTAGTCTCTTCTTAAAAACCTCCAGTAATGGAGCGCCCATGATTTCTGGAGGCAAGCTGTTCCACTGGCTAATTGTCCTCACTGTTAGGAAGTTTCTCCTTAATTCCAGGTTGCTTCTCTCTTTGATCAATTTCCAACCATTGTTTCTCATCCTGCCCTCTGGTGCTTGATCCCCTCTTCTTTCGGGCAGCCCCTCAAATACTGAAGTACTGTTATCATGTCTCCCCTGTTTCTTCTTTTCTTTAGACTAGCCAAACCCAAGTCCTGCAGCCGTTCTTCATATGTTTTAGTCTCCAGGCCTTGGATCTTTCTAGTTATGGGTGGGTATGTGGGTATATGCATAATGGTATTTTTTTGAGAGCTGAATGCAACGAAATTTCATTTTAATGTATACTGATTAGTGTACATTTAAAGTGACCATAAAGTTTTTATTCTATACTTTGTTTTATAGGAAATGAACAAGCTCTGCTTTATTGGGTGACTTTTGCACTGTCTAATCCAGTAAATATTTGATAAATATCTCTTAATAGATTTGTGAACATTCAAAATATTCTCTTCAGAAAGTAATTTCAAGGGTAGTCTAAAATTCAGATTTTACTCAGATTATTTGTTCTAACCGCACAACCTGAAGACCAGGTCCTAACTACTTGATTCTTCTTCTTCTTGTGCCGTTGTGGCCTCTGACCCGGCGCAGATCTCAACAAGCTCCCTGGTTTACCGAGGAGCTGAGAGAGATGAAGCGCCGGAAAAGACGCCTAGAGAGCAGTTGGAGGGCTACCCGAACCGAATCCGACCGAACACAGGTAAGGATGCATGTTAGATCCTACCTTGTGGCAATGAGGGTGGCGAGGTCTAATTACTACTCCACCCTCAT